GGAGGAGGAGGAGGAGGAGGAGGAGGAGAAGGAGGAGGAGGAGAAGGAGGAGGAGGAGGAGGAAGAAGCGGAGGAGGAGGAGGAGGAGGAGGAGGAGGAAGAGGACCCATCCTCCCAGGTCGAGTAGCGAATTGTATGTTTTCTCTTCCGGTTCTCGAGAGGGCTTTGCGCCCGCAATTGTTGGGTGCGCTTTTGCCCGCCAGGCTGGAGATTTCTCCAGAAGGATCGCCTTGGGGATCGATCCTCGTGGAACTCTGGCGGCGGTTGACATGGGCATATTCGGTCTCTGCGCGGGCCATATCACTATCTGCCGAGGTCCCCGAAGACGATTCCCAGAGGGTGGCTTTGGACAGATCCCCGCCTCGCAGAGGACGACTTCGAGGGGGGCCTCCGCATCTTCTGCACGAGCAGGCTGGAGCCCCCAGAGGCCTTCCAGGACGTGTGGCAAGTGATCTCCGAGGAGTCGGACATAAGCGTTGAGACACCCCTGCTCAGCCAGGACGACTCGGCCGAGCTGCACACGATCCTGATGTTCTGCAACCAAAACAGGTGCGAGGAGGTCAAGAGACTCTGCGATATCATCACGAACATAGACATGGGCAGCAAGGACGCCCCGCCGATGTTCTGGGTGCCCCACTCCGCTGCGCCCGAGAGCCAGGACGGGGGCGGCTCGGACTTCGTGATTGCCCAGCTGGTGGGGGAACTCCTGCACAAGGGCCTTGACGGCATCGTGAGCGGCGAGCCCGTTGGGCTGCGCCTCGCCATGGCCGTGCGCTCGATGATCCGCAAGTCGGCGATAGTGGGCCTCTTTTCCACCACGACCACCATAAGTTGGAGGGAGAGGGGGCCCTTCTCCTCCTGCTCCTCCTCCTCCTCTTCTTCCGCCTCCTCCTCCGCCTCCTTCCTCCAACTTATGGTGGTGGTGGTGGTGGAAAACGGGCCCATCAGGCGAGCCTCTCTCGGAATTTGACCGACATGATCGCGGAGGCGCAAACGCGGATGCAGTACGCGGAGCACCTGCAGAACTGCGCACACGCAACCTTGTGGGACTACGTCAGGGCCCGCATGGCGCCCGATATCCCTCCGGTCGACGGCAGCCTCGAGCCCGGAGTGCCGCGGGAGATTGACGGCTTTGCCGTCGGGAAGAAGCTCGGGCAGGGGATGTTCGGGACTGTCTACAAGTTGACAAAGAGGGACGGTGTGGGGAACAGGGTCGAGGTTGTGAAGGTGATGCTCACCGAAGGCATCACGTTCATCAGAGACCTGATGTACCTCAACCGCATGATCCACGTGATGACCATTCTGAGTAAAGAGAAGCACCCAAACATCATTCGCTTGCACCAGACATACCACTCGCCGACGCACATCCTCTTCCGAATGGAGTATGGAGGCCCAGAGAACCTGTACCGCTTCCTGCTCCCCCGCCAGGCACAACAGCCAGAGAGGCAGCGAACAGTGACCATCGACAAGGTCTCGAAGATCTTTTCGCAGTGCGTCGAGGCGGTCTGGCACCTGCACGCTGTGGTGCGCGTCTGCCACCGTGATATCAAGCCGGAGAACATCATCGTCAATGAGACACCCGAAACCGTCACCATCAAGTTGGTCGACTTCGACCTCGCCATCGTCATCGAGGAGGAGAGCAAGATGTGCTACAGCCCCTGCGGCACTGTGCCCTTCGCCGCCCCGGAGGTGTTGCTGGACGACCCCCCCTACGACCCCTTCCCGGCGGACATCTGGAGCCTGGGCCTGGTGCTCATGGAGGTGATCTGCGGGGTGCGCGTGGTGGAGCTCGCGATCGAGGAGGGTTAAGTCGGTCCTGTCCCTCTACATGAGGAAAATTAAGAGATAGTAGAAGAATAGTTTGGGGACAATTGTTTTTTGTTTTTTTATTCATTTTTTGGCGATTCTGTAACTATTTTGTAGATTTTTCGTCCAAAGTCTCCCTGAACGAGGACAGGCCCGACTTGAGAGGAGGGCGCGGGACGGGAGTTGCAGTCAGAGGGCGAAGACACATTGCTCGCCGAGAGCATCCGGACCCTCTTCCGGATGCCCGCCGCGGTGGCCGGCCTGCTGGAGCAGCGCTGCCGCCCAGAGCTCCGCTCTCTGTTGCCCCTCTGCAGCGCGATGCTTACTGGGATGTTGGCGGTCGACCCTGCTCAGAGGATCCGGGGCGTCATTCAAATGTCCGCCTCACCGATCCTGGCCAGGCCAGGACCGGTGGACGCGTATGTCCTCCTGGCTTGGCCAGGGAGATATCTACCGACCCTGGACCCTGGATCGGTGAAGCGGATGGCTGACGCACCCCCCGAGGATGGAGGCCGACGACGTCCGCTCCGTGGTGGAGCAGGGCCTCGCGCCTGTGCAGCCCGTCGCGCCCGCTGGGCCGCCGGCGCCCAGCGGCCGGCGGCGTCGCACCTCGCTGCGCGTCGTCTCACAGGGTGCCCCTGGAGCAGGCGGCACGCAGTGAGGTCCACGCCGCCACGCCGCGGAAGCAACACGGCGCACGGTGAGGTCCGCGGGCCGCCCGCTCGAGGCGGTGGGCGACCATCAGCACTGCCGCAGTGTCCCAGAAGCGATTCGTACTTCTGATCTTGTTGATCCTCCTGCTGTGTTTTCGTTCGAGGTTTTCGCTATCGGCCAGCCATTAGTGTTCGAACCCGTGACTTGGCGCGTCGAAGGGCACGTTCAATGCAGCATTCTGCACGTCGTGGCGTGAATAAGTCAGAAACCTCCACGAAGCTGGAGCAGTTTCGAATCTTGTTGTAGCACTGCCACGGTTCTGTGTTGGCAAGGCTTGCGCAGGGCCGGGCAGCCACTTTGTCAGAAAACTGAGCACGTTTTCTAGACCTTTTTGTTTGATCTGCAGCTTACTTGTTGTTCCCCGAGCAGTGCTTGCATTGGAGCGTTACTCTGTTTGTCATGTAATGGCTTTGTCTAGTACGGCTCTGCAGTGGTGGTCTGACGGTACGCGGCGTTACGGTCCAATGAGGACCCCCCTGCGCGATGTCAGACGACAGGCCCCGCGCAGGATTTCCCGCTCCAGCCCCCCAGCAAACCACCACCGTGCCAGCGCAGTATGGAAAGGCTTGCATGGTGGCTCTAGCGGGGTCTGCGAACAGGCTCGGTCGAAACATCTTAGGGTCGTCTGGGAGGCGACGCTGCGCGTTTGTTGATTCGCAGTAATACGATAGGTCCCGAAAGGACATCCTCCTGTATGGTCTCTCCCAAAGGCTCCCACCTGTGGTGTCTCACCCATGGGGTCCAGCTCGTAGCGTCACACTGATAGCTTCCCACTCACAGGACCTTACGCCTAGATCACGTTCCATATGTTGCTCCCGACGGCGCACCTGGAGTCTCGCAAACCTATCGCATGCATTCTATAGAGCGCACCCCTTACACCGGATCCAATCGCGGTCCGCGTATTGCACCGCATATTTCGCGCCTGAGAGGCCTCTTTCTGTATTGCCTCCTACCAGTTTGCATGTCGATTTCTGCATTCCATAGAACTCACAGAGTTCATGACAGGGTTCTTCCCTATTCCTCCAAAGAGTTTTTCGGACCATCATGTTTTGTCCCTGGTCGTTTTTGCATGGATTCGTTATGTGCTCGATCCTGGAAACTGTTTCCAAACCATCCTGTGGTGTTGGGTCTTCGTTTTGAAATGACGACGCCCCGCGTTCCTCCTCTCCTCTCCTCCCCTCCCCTCCCCTCTCCTCCCCTCCTCCTCCTCCTCCTCCTCTTCGTCGTCCTCCTCCTCCTCCTCCTCCTCCTTCTCCTCCTCCTCCTCCTCCTCCTCCTCCTCCTCCTGCTCCCCATCCTCCCATCCCTGCCTCTGCCTTCCGCACCAGCCAACCATTTCGGCACACTCCTCACACACTTGGTGGCCCCATAGGGAGCTCCACCGAGGGCCACAGTGGCTGCGCTCGCATAGCACCACCGCACAAATTTCGGCGTAACGCTCACACGTGTCGGGGACACAAAGGGTGCTCCACCGAGGGCCTCAGTGGCTGCCCTCGCATGGCACCACCGCACCCGTGCCGGCACACCCCTCACACGCTTCGTGGCCCCCAACGGAGCTCCACCGAAGGCCCCAGTGGCTGCGCTCGCATTCCCCCACCGCGACCATTTCGGCACACCTCTCACACGCTTCGTGGCCCCCAATGGAGCTCCACCGAGGGCCCCAGTGGCTACGCTCGCATGGAACCACCGCGCCCATTTTGACACTCCCCTCACACGTTTCGTGGCTCCCAACGGAGCTCTACCGAGGGCCCCAGTGGCTGCGTTCGTATGGCACCACCGCGTCCATCTCGGCACACTCCTCACACGCTTCGTGGCCCCCAATGGAGCTCCACCGAGGGCACCAGTGGCTGCGCTCGCATGGAACCACCGCGCCCATGGCCCCCAATGGAACTCCACCGAGGGCCTCAGTGGCTGCGCTGGCATGGCACCACCGCGCTCATTTCGGCACACCCCTTAAACGTTTCGTGGCCCCATAGGGCGCTCCACCGAATGCCCCAAAGGCTGCGCTTGCATGGCACCACCGCGCCCATTTCGGCGCACACCTCTCACACGTTTCGTGGCCCCCAGCGGAGCTCCACCGACGGCCTTTCTGCTGGCTGCGCTCGCATGGCACCACCGCACCCATGCCGGCTCACCCCTCACACGCTTCGTGGCCCCATAGGGAGCTCCACCGAGGGCCCCAGCGGCTGCACTCGCATGGCACCACCGCACCCACCCCAGCACGCCACTCACACGTTTCGTGGCCAATGGAGCTCCACCGAGGGCCCCAGTGGCTGCGCTCGCATTGCACCTCCGCGCCCCTGTCGGCACACCTTACACGCTTCGTGGCCCCATGCGGAGCTCCAACGAAGGCCCCAAAGGCTGCGCTTGCATGGCACCACCGCGCTCATTTCGGCGCACCCCTCACACGCTTCATGGCCACACAGGGAGCGCCACCGAGGGCCCCAGTGGCTGCGCTCGCATGGCACCACCGAACCCATGTCGGCACATCCCCTCACACGCTTCGCGGCCCCATCGGGGGCTCCACCGAAGGCCCTTCTGGCTGCGCTCGCATGGCACCGCCGCACCCATCTCGGCGCACCCCTCACACGTTTCATGGACCCGTAGGAAGTTCCACCGAGGGCCCCGGTGGCTGCGCTCGTATGGCGCTACCGCGCCAATTTCGGCACACCTCACACGTTTCGTGGCCCCATAGGGAGCTCCACCGAAGGCCCCAATGATTGTGCTTGCATGGCACCACCGCGCCTATTTCGGCGCACCCCTCACACGCTTCGTGGCCATATAGGGAGCTCCACCGAGGGCCCCAGTGGCTGCGCTCGCATGGAACCACCGCGCCCATTCTGGGACACCTCTCGCAATTTCGAGGGCCAATGGAGCTCCACCGGGGGCGCCAGTGGCTGTGCTCGCATGGCGCCACCGCGCTCATTTCAGCACACCCCTCACACGTTCCGTGGCCCCCAGCGGAGCTTCACCGAGGGTCCCAGTGTCTGCGCTCGCATGGCACCACCGCACCTACTTCGATTCACCACTCTACACTTTCTGGCCTTTCTGGGGCAGCTGCGAAGCTTTCTGGCGGACGAGGGCCAGGAGCTGGCGGGCGCCGACGTGGGCGCGCTGCGCCGCCCATGTCCGAGGCCGCGCCCCCGCTTCGCAGGGGCGGGTGTGGCCGCGTGGCAAGCGCGCCGCGCCTGCCAGGGGCGCCAGGCGCGACAAGAGCGCCAAGTGCACCAGGTGCGCCGCGTGCCTGGCGCGCCAGGTGCGGTAGGTGCGCCGTGTGCGGCAAGTTCGCCTCGTGCGACAGGTTCGTCGGGCGCCCGTGGCGCATTGCGCTGCCCCATTGATCGGGAACGGCGTTGGGCGATCAGTTCTACCCCGGCTACCCTCCAAGGCAGTTGCGCGGCAGCCGCGGCAGGCCACGAGCCTGGGTCCAACGTGCGTCGCAGGATTTCCACTGTGTGTCACGATATTCACTCCACTTACCTATACGATCACCCTTCGGGTGATGAGGAGGTTCGGGGGGGGAGGAACCAACGTCTCACTCGATCGGTCTCACTATCGATCTCACTATCGGTATCGCTCGATCGATCTCACTCGATCGATCTCACTCGATCTATTTCATTCGATCGATCTCACAATCGATCTGACGATCGATCTCACTATCGATCTCACGATCGGTCTCACTATCGATCTCACATTCGATCCCACATTCGGTCTCTTTACCGAACTCACTATCAATATCACACTCGATCTCACAATCAACGTCACCATCATCATCAACCACATTATCGTCATCAATGTCATCAGCATCATCATCACCATCGGGACACGATCATCACCATCATCACCTCATCATCATCATCAGCATCATTATCATCAGCATCACCATCACCAACAACATCATCATCGGGACGCCATCATCGTCACCACCATCATCATCATCAAAATCATCATCGGGGCACCATCATCATCATCGGAACACCACCATCACCATCATCATCATCATCATCTTCATCATCAGCATCATCATGAACAACATCATCAACATCATCATCATCATCGGGACACCATCATCATCAGCAACATTATCATCAACATCACCATCATCATCATGGAGACACCATCATCATCGTCACCATCATCATCATCACCATCATCATCATCATCATCATCGGGGCACCATCGTCATCATCAACATCATCAGCATCACCATCCTCGAGCCACCATCATCAAAACCATCATCATCACCTCATAATCATCCTCATCATCAACATCATCATCATCGGGACACCATCATCGTCATCATCACCAACATCATCATCATCACCATCATCGGGACACCGTCATCCTCATCATGACCATCATCATCAACAGCATCAGCATCAACCTCATCATCATCACCATCGGGACACCATCATCATCATCCCCATCATCATCAGCATCTCCTCATCATCTCATCATCATCAACATCATTAAGATCGTCAACATAATCATGATCAGCATCATCGGGACACCATCATCATCAGTAACATCATCATCATCATCATCATCATCATCAACATCACCATCATCGGGAACCACCATCACCATCATCATCATCAACATCGTCAACATCATCATCATCCTCATCATCATCATCATCATCATAGGGACACCATCATCATCACCACCATCACCATCATCATCATCATCAACATCAACGACATCATCATCATCATCATCATCAGCATCATACTCATAATCATAATCATCATCATCGGGACACCGACGGGACACCGGCGGGACACCAGCGGGACACCGCGGGCCACTGGCCCCCGGAAAGGAATGATTTGGTCCGGCCGCGCCGCAGCCGGAGGCGGGACACCAGCAGGACACCGCGGGCCACCGGCCCCCGGAAAGGAATCATTTGGTCCGGCCGCGCCTCAGCCGGAGGAGACTTTCTTTTCGCCC